ATTTCATTTGGATTCTGTCTGGATTGGGCCCTGTGTGATAAGGTCCTAGGTAAGCTCTGAAGCTTCAAAACGGCATACAGTCACAAGATAGAGAAGCACTTGAATTATCATTCCATGGATGTTATGGGAGATCTACACTGTATTCTGTATCATATTTTACTTAACATAATTTTATGTATATGCAGTAAAATAGCAGAGGCATTTAAAAACCTTGTTAGTGAATTGGGAAGATGCATATTGGTACACCAGCAAGAGTGTTTATCAGGGAGTGATGAGCATCAGGCACTTGGCTGGCTCTGCTATATAGTAACTTAACAGCCTTCTACTGGATATGAGAATTACAAAACTGCCTAATTCTAACTCCTCCATATGTAAGTCCACTTACAGAGGTGCAACTCTGATAGAGAATTCTGGTCATATTAATTTGATATCTTTTTCTTTCAGGTATTTCCTAGATTTGGTGTCATTCTCTAAACAGTGTTCCAATTTTGGGGGAATATAGGTTGTATTATAAATGGATGGTGAGACTAGACAATATATTTAATACATTTTTTGCAAAAGTGCTACTTTTAAAATGGTGAAAGATATCTGTCATAGCACATGATTTTCCTCATTTACATATCTTGTATTTAGCATCTTTTCTTTGTAATTAACATTAGAAGGTAAATATGAGCTTTATTTGCAAGTCTAATTGCTCATGCATGGGCCTCTGAAGACATCCCTTGGTGAGAAGCAAGATTTGTTAATGGCAGACATTCTCCTGGAAGTGTAATTTGACCCAGAGGGCCTGTGCACACTGCCTGGCAACAAGGCCCACTAAATTCCAAATATGCTTCTATAGTACTGAAGCAGAGAATTGCACAATTTGTTCATGCAAATGAATTTATTTTGTGAGGAGATCTTATAAAATATCAATGACACTCTTACATTAAGGCGTCAGTCTTTATTATGCTTACACTGATCCAGTGAAATGAACCCAGGGCAGATGTTTGCTACACACTAGAGTCTAAAGAAACAAACTGGTTCATAGGGGTTGAACATTTATTTTCACAACAGGTGTTGCACTCTTAAGTAAACCTCATGTTGATACAGCAGACATGGCAAGAAAGACTATTGTCTAAGCATTGTTGGCATGTATTATTCCATCACTGCTGATGCAGGCTTTGCTTGCCTGCTTTCATGCATTGCCATGAGAGGGGGATAATAGAACCTAGTAGTAAATGGCCAGCTTGGCATAGTGGTTTTAGTGCTGGACTATGATCCTGGAGACCAGGATTCAATTCCCAGCTTGGCCATGAAACCCCCTAGGTGACGTTGGGCAAGTCACTTGCTCTCAGCCTCAGAGGAAGACAATGGCAAACCTCCTCTGAACAAAGCTTGCGAAGAAAACTCCATGATCAGGTTGCCGTAGGATCAGCATAAATTGGAAATGACTTGAAGGCACACAACAACAACAACAACAACAACAACACATTTGGCCTCCCTTGACATCTCAGTAGATTGTGAAAAGGGTGCAGTGAGAACTTCAAAAGAGAACAGAGATCACTGCAACTGCCACTCAGCAACCAAGGCTCTGTTGTCATGGCCCTCTCACTCTGGGAGACCTACCAGTTTCCATTTTTAGAAGATAAAAAGAGAAGGCTGTCCTAATTGGCTATTGCCATGTCCCTGCAAAATTAGTTTTTGAGTGATGTCAAAACATAGGAAGGTGGCTTATAAAGTATCAGGCAGCTGGTCTTATTAGCTTGGTATTGTTTACTGACTAGTGGCGTCCTTCAGAGTTCTTTCCCAATCCTATCTTGACATGCCAGAAATTAAACCTGGGACTTTTTTTCATGCAAAGCCTTCTGATCACAAAAATGTCCCAGAACTCTAGCTGGGAAACCAGCACTGGCAACACCAGTGGCAGGATGTGGACTACACTAGGTGACACCTCAGAAGAGTGTGACACCAAGTTGGGCTTCCTCATGCTGAGCCCCTTCTGGCTGGGTGTGCTGGTGGAGGTCTCCTCCTTGCAAGGAGACCTCTCCACTGTTACAGCAAAAGGGAGGGCTGAGTGACCCTCTCCCAGCTTTGCTGTGGCAGTTGTGGCTTCCTCAAGAGGAGACCTCCACTGCTGCAGCAAAGGAGAGCAGAGCACCCCACTCCTGGCTTGCTGCTGTGAGGGAGGCTTCATCATAAGGAGAACTCTGCCACCACAGCAAAAAACACAGGGACAAATGCCCCTCTTCTAGCTTGCTGTGGTGGTGGAGGCCTCCAACATACCCTTTTGGCTGCTGCCATTCCCCCAGCAACACCCCCACACTGGGTAACACCGGGGTGGGGGCGCCACTAGAAATCAGAAGAAGCTATCTAAAAATATAGCCTTCCAGAGGTGCAGAAGATGGTTGTGAAAACAGGGCTTATAACAGCCAAATATAGAGAATGCGGAGATGCCCAGCCTCATTATATTAGGTATAACAAATCTTGCTTTTTAAAAATCACATATGTTGGTCCAAGCAAACACACCAGCTTATGTACAGACACTACATGTCAACAAATGTCTACTTCAGCAGTAAGCTACGGTAAAGATGTAATTATGGTTAGCCCTTTTGCTGTGATAATCACCACAATAAAATGCCTTATCATGCACATTTATTAGGAAATAAATACTACTGAATTCAATAGGACTTATTTCCAATATTTTTGCACAGTTGTGCAACCTCAGATACTTTCCAGAATTTGACTCAGACATTTTGTTAGCTCTCATTCCATATTGTTATGCTGCAAAGATAGTATTGTCTTGGGATATAGGGCTGATTCAATTTTGACTGCAGTTAGCAGTCAGCCTGGGACTTCATGTCATGGAAAATGGGCCAAATAGGCTCATAATTATGCAAGCATTAGTTAAAAATCTATTTGGCCATTCAGAATTGAAAAAGAAAAGAATGGTCTGACTGTTAGCCACCTGTAAAACTCTTTAAATATTTATATATTATCTTTCAAAACTAAATTCACAAAAATAGAAATGTCAGATGTAGAGAGGCTAATCAATTTTTTTTATAGCTTAGGAGGCATAAGTGAATGGATTTTCTATAGTGTTGTTACTGATTTTGTCTATGGAAAGAAGAAAAATGTGTTTTTTGCCTGGACATTTAAAACAGAAACGATGTATTAAAAAATCAATACTGTAAGCACCTTGGACCAATGATGAGAAGCCAGAAAATCCTACGCTTGTTAAATTCTATATCCTGTCAGATAACTGAACTAGCTGTCTTCCTGATGAGGAGGGATGTGGAGGGATGAGTGGGTAGGAGGGATTATTGATTTCTGGAAAGCTAATATGCTCCCATGTTTATCACCCTTTATTTAAAAATAATTGCAAGAATTTTGATTATGCCAAGAGTTCATTGTGGCTTCAGTTCAATACTATGCTGAATAGACAACCCCAAAGAAAGCTGAGCTTTCACTTTTCTTCCTTCCTTCCATTCACCAAAAGGACAAGAAAGCACCATCAAATCTATTATACTTCAGCACAGTATAATAGCTTGATACAAAAATAAAAAAACCTGTCTGTCTTTCATTCATTATGCATATAGAGCAATCCCCCAGATGAATATCATTCTAAAAATTACCGGTATGTGTCTCTGCATGGTTTTCTCTTTTGCAGACGTCATATTTAAATTTAAATTTCCCTTCTTGAAGAAATTAAATTTACCCTTTTGCAGGCCACACCAATGATTCTGTTGAGACATGAATAACCTGGAAGAAAACTATATTGTATGTAAAAATGTAAAAGTAGTCACTAGACATGAATTTCTAGTTGTAACCGACTGTAGGGGGAGCTGTTCATCTTCATTACTGAGTTGAAGAGCTAGCGTTGTCCAAGGACTACTCAGGGAAGTGGTACTATTTATCTACTTGCATCTGCATGCTTTTGAACTGCTAGGTTGGCAGAAGCTGGGACTAGTGACAGAAACTCACTTCATCATACAGCACTCAGGCCTCAAACTACCAACCTTCTGATCTTTTGATCGTAAGAATTGGTGTATTAACCACTAAGACACCACGTCATATGTAGACTACACATATGTTGTTGTTGTGTGCCTTCAACTTGTTTCTGACTTATGACAACCATAAGGCAAACCTATCATGGGGTTTTCTTCGCCAGATTTGTTCAGAGGAAGTTTGTCATTGCCTTCCCCTGAGACTGAGAGCATCTGACTTGAACAAAGTCATCCAATGGGTTTCATGGCTAAGAGGGAATTGAACCCTGGTCTTCAGAGTCACAGTCCAACCCTCAAACCATTATGTTACATTGACTCTTATAGTACACATTTATACCATATTTACTCAAAAATAAATACATATTTTTAAAAAAAATCACCAAAAGTGCAAGACACTTTCAGGCAATAAAAATATTCTAAAAAAGTATTATAAGCAACAAAAGCTGTTCTTTACAGGGAAATGACTAAAAGTAAATTTCAAACATTTAAATTACACAGTATAAAAAACTTATAAGAGCATGGTGGGAAGGTAAACAGTGGGAAGGTAAATAGCATTCTGAGCAATCATGCTGGCCACATGATCACAGAGTAGTCTCTGATAACGCTGGCTTTTCAGCTTAGTAACGGAGATGAGTTCCACCCCCTACGGTCGAACACGACTTGACAAGCTTGTCAACGGGGAATACCTTTACCTTACCTTTAAGAGCATGGTACAACTCTCCAGTGTTAATTCTATTGAATATATGATTGGGTAACCAACTCTTATCTAAAAGCAAAGATACTGGCAAAAGGTCTTCTCTTCTTAATTCATTTATTAAAATGAATAGGTGCTATGTAAGAGAATTTTTTTACTTGATATGTGGAGATAGGAGAGGCAGGGCCAGCAGGAACAAACCCAGTTCCTCTTCAGGAAAAAAAACACATACCCAAAAACCTGGAGAAACAGTCTGTAGGGAGAAGGAATATTAAGAACCCTCCCCTCCCCATCTCTGAATATTTATTACCTATCAGTGGGGCAAACTCTCTCCAAACATCTAGCATGTTTACATTCAGTTTGAGCCACAGACAATCGCCTTTTGGGCTTATCTCATACTCCCAAGGATGCCGTTTCTTGCGTTATACCCAGGCAATTTATGTAGGGCAGCTGCATGATTAGTAAAACCACAAAATGGTATCTTCGACACAAATAGAGGCAGGTAGCTTAGAATGCATTCAACTCTCACCTTGAAACTGATTGACTTGTTGCACAGGATAGGGATTTCGCTGCTGTTGCTGGAGATGCTGCCGAGGCAAATGTGCCTGCTGTTGCTGCTGCTGCTGCAAATGCTGAGAACAAAGGAAAAGAAAAGGAGTTGGGAGAGAAGAGGAGGTTGGCGACTGTCAGGACAGCCAACTAGGGAGACAAACACTGACATTATTTCCTCTCTAGCAAGGTACTCTTGAATGACAAGTGCTGTGTGGAAGTGGCTGGCAAAGTGAGCAGTAAGTAGACTCGCATGGATCAAGGACTCTTAGAGCACAGTGCACTTTTTGATTCTAAGCATCTTCTGTCTTTTCACAGCAGATGGCCTTCTTGGCTTCCCAAGAACCCTTTAAGACTTCTATCCTGTCTAGGTGAAACAAATAGGCAATGGGAGGAATGTGTGTAGCCATCTCTTGAACCACATTTTGGGTGCATCTACATCTGGATAATACGCAGAGTTCAGAAGCAATAAGTTACAAACACTACAATGATCTATCCTCTTCCTTTATGCAAGGAAGATGTAAGAATGGCACATTTCAAAATTTATCTAATGTGTGGGAATTAAGCTGTATTACTGGTGTGACAAGTAACCCTTGTAAAAGTAACTTTTAATTAAAAAAACTTTCTAGTTTTTATTTTTAAATGCCATTTTATAAGGATTTTGACATGAACTTTTCCAGGTTTTGTACTGTCCTTTTACCAATTCTAATCTCCTTCCCTCCAGTTCAAAGTAACTAGATAGGATCTAGTGAACAACATAACCAGTAATACAAAAATCCAAACTTCAGAAATAATCCAACTTGAAGTCTCAATGGTTATATTTAGGGATGATGGCATATCTAGAAGACCTCAGGTTGGGGGGGACTTGCATTATGGGGTGAAGTGTGTCCTTCTAGGCATTTCATTTGATTGGATTCCTCCAGTTTTAAGTTTCTAAAGTTCTATGGGAAGAAACCACAGGGGAAAGAGAAACTGCTGATCTCATAGCATAAAAACAACAACCCCTCTTCCTTATTTTGCTGGAAATGAACCTTTTTGATTCAAAACCCAGACTTGGAAGGCCATGAAATACTGGTGAGAACTGTATTAACCAACAGGTGACATGTTGGATTGTTTAATTTTGCATTCTTTGCAGGGTGCACACTCTCATATGGTACAGTTTCTGGATGAGAGTCACATTGTTTTGGGGAGAAAGGCAGAGTAAATAAGTGTGGGGGTTTGTTTATAAAATTAATGGGCAAACAGCAGTATGACTGAACCTACACTTCATAATATTCCACTTACTATGAACCTGGAAGCTATCAAGTTATGCAAAAGTCATCACTGAAAGTGACTTGCAGTGCCTAAAATTACACTTATGGTCAACTTCAGTGGTTGTGTACAAGGGCCCTAACACACTTGAGAATGCATCTGCATTCAGCTGAAGCATATATTGTCTTAATGCACTGTTCCCTATACAGAGAACTGCACTCTTGATCCAAATAACATATCAAGCAGCAGCTGATACATTTCCTATAAGGTTTTTGGCAAATTAATTAAATATAGTATGGAAAATGCTCCAGACCAGAAAGGCCCTGGGTTGTATGCACACTTAACTGAAATCACATTGATTTCAATGGGCTTACTCTAAATATATGGGCAAACCTGGATGCAATCTATTTGTTTAACATATTAACCCACAGATTAACCCAGCCCAAATCCATGTCATTTTGGGTTGATTTGCCTCCCCCCCCCCTGGAAACACCAGGAAAAAAGTAGTATATTGTCTAAAACTGAAACTGGAAGTGACATCAGGTCCTTTTTTTGTCATCCTGGCAAATGTCAATACAATTCACCAAAGGCCAGGGGGAATGGACCAAACTTTAGCACATTTGGCCAGCCCCACTATGGACCTTTGCAGACTGCTAGAAATAGTGAAAATTGAGTCCACTTTAACTGCCCTGGCTCAGTGCTAGGGAATCATGGGAACTGCATTTTTTTCTGAGACATTGAGCCTTCTCTGTCAGAGAGCTCTGGTGCCACAATAAACTACAGTTCCCATGATTCCATAGCACTGAATCAGGGCAGTTAAAGTGGACTCAATTTGCGTTATTTCTGCCAGTCTGCAAAGGCCCCCAACTGGCTCTGCTCTTATTTGAGTTTATAATACCAGTTAGAGTGTAAAAGAGGTTTCTCCCAAATTAAAATGTTTTTTGACTTTGGTGGAATTTTCACCATCTCATTTAGGGATAGCTTATGTCAGTGACCTGAAATGTCTTTTAATTAAGGTAAATCTTAAGGTAAGTTCCTTTCTTATGAGAATAGCTTAGGTGCTATTTCCTAATTGCTCTGTGGATGATGCCCATGATATTCCAATAAAAAAGAAGAGATAAACCAGGGCTGACACAGGATATTTTGCTGGCTGAAGCAAAACAGCAAATGAGACTTCAACCAAGTCATGGTGCATTCTATCAAAGGATGGCAGTTTATTTTAACACTTGAGACAGAAACTCACACAGGCATCTCTCATTGGGGATAAAAGCAGAATTGTGAAGGTACAGGGGGAAAAAAACTGGAAAAATCTGGGGAAAACAAGGGCTATTTCTGGAATGACCTCCCCAATATCGCTTTCCCCAGAAAAAATTTATTAACTGCTCCAAAATAATTTCTATAAACTATTTGAGAGACAGACATCTATGGACCTTATCCCA